TTGTCCTCATTTCCGTTTCAGAGGATTTGTCGCTGATATACAGGAATGCCTTTGATTTATGCGTGTTGATTTTATATCCTGCCACTCAGACACAACATCTTTATTTGTATGTGGTGCTGAGGATCGAACCCAGGCTGCACGCATGCCAGGCTAGCTCACTACCGCTTGAGCCACATCCCCAGCCCCCAGCCTCGGCAATTTAGCAAGGCCCTGAACAACTTAGTGAGACCCTGTCTCAAAAAATAAAAAGTGCTGGTGATGTAACTTGGTAGTTAAGCACCCTGGGTTCAATCCTCTATATTCAAATAATAAGGGCATTAGACTAGATCAGAGTAGGCAGATGTATAGCACGAGTGTGTACAGAATGAGTGCCACTCCTCATTCTTGTCCCATGACAAATACTGCAGATTGGTCTTGAATTTTTCTCACACTGAGGTTATTACATGGACCCCCGTTCTTTCTCCACACAGTACTCTACCATTCACTGTGGATAGAACAGAACTGAAACAGGAGAATCTTGTGCTTGTTTTGGACCACATGTTCACTGTGGTTTCTTTTACTTTTAAGCTGGATAGGAATAGAGGGCAAAACAAACAGGTACTTAAAAGCAGACTACAGGGATTGGAACTTCCCTGTGATAAATATGACTAGCTGGTGGTAATGGTAGCTAGCCAGATTATATAATTGCCTCCCCTTTTGGAGAATAGATGTGACCATTTCATGGTCTGGGCATTATGGAACATCAAGCTTAGATAATACAAGATTCCTTGCCTGAGCTAGTTATCCTTAAGTAATGATTGTGTCCTCCTTTTCATAGCTTATTAAGGCCCCATTTTAGAGATCTTATGGATAATATTCAGACTTTGAATTAGCTAGGTGGTAAATTTTGACATTTGAAGTGACCTGAACATTATTTTCTGTTAGTCTTCATGCAGCTAAGTCAGGCACTTTTTATATTAGAACCTGGCTATAAGACATGAAAATAGCCTCCCATTTAAGGGGTTTTCCCTTAACAATTCTTTTTTTTTTTTTTTCCTGGTACCAGGGATTGAACTCAGGGGCATTCAACCACTGAGCCACATCCCCAGTCCTATTTTGTATTTTATTTAGAGACAGGGTCTCACTGAGTTGTTTAGCACCTCACTTTTGCTGAGGCTAGCTTTGAAATCTTGATCCTCCTGTCTCAGCCTCCCAAGCCACCATGTGGTGTGCCACCACACCTGGATCCCTTAACAATTCTGAGTTCAAAAAACTACTAATAAAGTTCTCTTACAATTCTGATATTACAGAGAAATTATTTAAATCAAATTATTTTGAAATACCACTGGCTGACCCTTAGCAATAATTCATTTTTTTCTTTTCCATATTTCTTATTGGTGCATTATAGTTGTATACAAGGGGATTTGTTATTATATACTCATACTTACACACATATACCAATAAAATTTCATGAATACCAATCCTCAGTATGTCCCCTGTCCCTCCCCTTCTCCCTCTCCCTGGTCCCTTTCCTTTACTGATCTCCTTTTGATTTTCATGACACCACCTACACACATATACCTTTCTTTTCCTTTTTCCTCTCTAGCTTTCACTTGTAAGAGAAAACATGACCAGTTACTTTGAGTTTGGCTTATTTTACTTAACATAATGTTCTCAAGTTCCATCCATTTTCCTGCAAATGACATAATTTCATTCCTCTTATAGCTGAATAAAACTCCATTGTGTATATATGCCATGCAATAATTCATTTTGTAGATCAGCTCTGTCCAATAAAAATAGAATGCAGCCCACATATATTATTTAAAAATTTCAAGAAAACACAAGAAAAATAAAAAAACAGGTGAAATTTGTTTTAATAATAGGTTTTATTTAACTTAGTATTTTCAAAGTATTATTTCAGTGCATAATCAATATTTTAAAATTAGTAAGAAGATATTTTACATCCTTCTTCCCCCTTTGTACTGTCTTTAAAATCTGGTATTTTACATTTACAGCACATATCAATTCAGACTAGCCATGTTTCAAGTGCTCCATAGTCACTTGTGGCTAGTTGATTCCATACTCACTAGGGCAATACTAAATGAAACTTTTAGTATTTGTATAAACTATTCTGAGACCAACAGGTGTGCCTTGTTCATATAATAGTCATTCTATAAGAAAATGAATGATTAAGGGCTCTTATGTTTTCTTTTATAAGGTTAGACTATATGAAATTTGTTTTGTAGTTTCCAAGTGTTTGTATATGATAACACTTTAATTTGGCTCAACTTGATATATTATAGCTGAACACACTTGTTTTCCTTCAAAAAGCAATACTATTCAAATTTCATCTTAAATTCTTACACCAGAAACCACAAACTAGTTTTGAAAAATCATTTATTATTTATTGTAACCAAGTCTGTACATGATCTGGGAGCTAGAAAATGATAAGACCATGATGAAGAGGACATTGCCTGTTTCCTTCCTTTCCTGAGTTATTATGCTTCATGCCATATGTCAATTCACAGCCAAAAAACTCTATTGTTTGCTTTATTTCATTTTCCTGGGCTGGGGATGTGGCTCAATGGTAGAGCATTTGCTTAGCATGAACAATGCCCTGGGTTCAATGTCCAGCACCAAAAAAAAAAAAAAAAAAAAAAAAAAATCATCTTTCTGTCTTGTACACTGAGGTTGTCTTCTTCCCTGACTGAGAATACATTATGAGGTTAGTTGTAAATGATTTGATCTGGTACTTGCAGAAAAGGAAGAAGTACTGATACTGGTGCTACTAAAAGAGGACTTTGGTTTCAGTAGAGGCAGGCTGTGGTAAGAGGAGCACTGAATGAATGGAGCTAATTGCAAGTGAAAGTCAATGTGGTCAGGCATTTTGCTTTTCTCCCTTTTGAGTTGGGAGAGACCAGACATCTCCAGTGCCTTAAGGGATGCAGGTGTTTGCAGTCTTCACCTTTGCCTACCAAATTATGATCTGATTTCTGAATGACATGTAATTAATAGGCTATCAAAATGAATGTACTAACATTCTTGTTCATTTAATCTTTGGTAAAAGTTAAATGTGTATAATATAAATGTATTATTAGAAACAAATTTTTAAGTTATATATGTTATTTGTAGGAGAGAAGTATGGCTACCTTTCACTTCCAAAGCCAGTGGTAAGTAGAATTATGTACATTTCAGACTTTTTTTTTATATAGAATCTAGATTGTGTTCTTGTTGCCTACGGCAGCTACTTTCCTTCCCTAAAGAAAAAGGTTAGGATATTAGACTTTGTTCAGAGTTGTTATTCTTGGTAGCAATCTACATGTGGCCCATACTCTGAATATTTGTGTTGGGTTTGAGGATTTGAGAGGATGGGTAACAGAATTTGTGATTAATAAACCCTAATCTAAGGTCAGAAGTCAAATTAAGGTCTAATTTGCTAGGTTTTGTTGGATTCATTTTCTATAAATTAAAAATTTTAATACACTTTCTACCTAGATGAAAACATACCATGTGTTTGGGAAAGATACAGGGGGTAACTGAGCTGGGCACTGGTCCTAAGATCCATTTTGGGAATGACCAATTCCTGTCTTCTGGCTGATAGCATTTTAACATCGGTCATGTAACCCAGGAGATGTTTTGAGGACCAGAGCAATTTGTTTATAGAGATCATTCTATAGAAATTTATAGTTTTGAATGAAATGCAAGGTATGAAAAGCGGAGATTATAGTAACAAAAAATCATTTATCAAAAAGGATATTTTTCTAGAATCATCAAGTGTCCTAATAATTCTAACTTCAGAAATAGAGGGAAAACAATGGCAAATGAGAAAATAAAAGAATGGTAAATTATGCCCCACATAAAATTATACCCAGTTCCCTAGTCACAAAGAAGGGTAATTTTTACAGCTGAAAGTTCTTATAACAGGTCAATGTTTCGTGTGAGACAAAAAAACATTCATCTGTTCATCTGTTCAACCACTAAATACTCCTTGGCCATCTTCTGTTTGCTGGGCAGTAGGCTAGGCACTGGTGCAGTAATGATGAAAAAATGCTAAAAGATATATTCTGCAGGTGGGGATTTTAAAGACATTTTGTTAAGTGCAGTTTTCCGTTTTCCTAGAACTGCCTATACAAGTATGTCACTTAGAAAATAATGCAATAATTTAGTCAATGAAAAAGGCAGGCTGGTTTCAGCCAGCCTAGCTTGGACTTGTCCAGTAGAAATATGATTCAAGGCATACACGTAATTAAAAATTTTAAGTGGTCATATTTTTAAAAAGAAAATTGTGAAATTTTATATTATATTTAATCTAGTATATCCCAAATATTATCATTTCAACATATAATCAACATGTAACTATAGAATCTTTTTGAAGTATTCCTGTCAGCCTAAGTCTTTAAAGCCTGGTGTGTATTTTACACACACAGCACATCTTAGTTCAGACAGGCCATATTTCAAGTGTTCAATGGCAACATGTGGCTAACTCTATTGGAGAATACAGGTTTAAACTCACAGAAAAATAAAATGAATAGAGAGGAGAGAGAATTTATGTGAAAGATTATCAAGAAGAACAGATGGTGAGTATCAGAAGAGAGAACTGGCAATGAAGAGATAGAGAGTAAAGTGCCCATGTTTGGGATGTAGAAGTAACAGTGGGTATGGTTGTTGGTGTAGGGGAAGTGCAAATGATTAAGCAAACCCCCAGATTTAAAAAATGGCATATACTTAATTAGTTTATTTTAAAAAGAAAACCGGCATTTAATATTGAAAATCAAAGGCTGGGGTTGTGGCTCAGTGTCAGAGCGCTTGCCTCACATGTGGGGCACTGGATTCGATCCTTATAGCACCACATAAAAATGGATAAATAAACAAAGGTATTGTGTCCATCTAAAACTAAAAAATAAATAAATAAATACTAAAATTAGTATTTGAAAACAATGTAGCTGGTGCAGAAGCAAATATAACACTGCAAAATAATTGTGTGTGTGTGTGTGTGTGTGTGTGTGTGTGTGTGTGTGTGTTTGAAAAGAGCTTCTATGCCTTAACTATCCTCAGGGCGTTGAAAGTCTAGATAGAAATTTGTCTATTTTTTTTTTTGTTTTTTTAACCCTACTTAACTCTACTAGTTTATATTATAGTTAATATCCTATTGGGTTTAAGCAAATAGGGATAGCTTGAATTTTTTTTTCAACTCCTATAATTTAGGATTATTACAAAATATTTTTTTGAGGTTAGAAGAGACATCAGAGCTTTTTAAATTTCTTTTTTACTTTTTTAGTTCTAGATGGACACAATACCTTTATTTTATTTGTCTTTATTTTTTATGTGGTACCAGGGATCGAACCCAGTGCCTCACACATGCTAGGCAAGGGCTCTACCTTTGAGCCATAACCTTGGCCCCAGTCATCATACAGCTTTTAATAGGTGGAATGGAGCAAAGATTTTATTGGACTAAATAGCATTATCTTTAGGAAGAAATAATTTCAGAATCACAAACCATCTTCTTATTTGAGGATAACATAGCTAATTATATTCCTAGAAATTTGTAGCTCTCTTTTCAGAGGCTCAGTCTTCAGCCTTAAGCAATTCAAACTATTGCACCTGACTGCATTTTAAAATAGTGTCCACTAGATGGCAAGCGAGGTCACATTAGTAAGATCAAAAGAATAGGTCAATTCTCTTGTAGTCTTTGTTAAACTCTTTAATAACAATTTGTAAAATTAAAAACATAATAAATAAATACAGCTAATGTCAAAGAATACAGTGGGATGTAAAAATTCTAACTAAAATAAGGCCGAAAAGTCTTGAGAATATTCTTAACTTTCTCAATTGCTTTATGATTTGCTTTATAGACTGCTAGAAGGAAATAAAGATGATATGACTATCCAAGGAGAAGCTAGAGATCATTGATCATGTCTGTTTGTTTTCTAATAAGCACAAGAGCCAGCTTGCATTTGCATGTGTTAATGTATGTGTATAATTTTATAGTTCCTCTATGCATATTTATTTCATGTCCTTTTACCTCATTTATGTGTTTAAAATAAACATAATTTAAAAAATCTCAGAATGGCTATGTTCAATGAGTGCATCTAAACTATGGAATAGGAAAAGAAGGGAACAGTTTTGTTTTGAAGTGAAATTGGTAACAGAAGTAACAAGTCAGGTTGTAACAAGGGAAACAAAAAAGGAGCCCGAAACACACACACACGCACGCACGCATGCACACACACACAGGCCCCTATCACTTGACAGTGGGGAGCATATTCTGAGGAATATGTTATTAAGTGATTTCATGGTTGTAATAATATCATAGTGTACTTGAACTAAGATGACTATGATATTGCTAGGTGATATAATCTACTGGAACCACCATCGTATATGCTTTATTTAGTTAACCCAAATGTTACAAGGAGCATGATATGTACACACATGCATGTGCGCGCACGCACACACACACACACACACACACACAGATGGTCCTTGACTATGTGATCTTATCACTTTACAGTGGTGCAAAAGTGATACCCATTCAGTAGAAAGCATACATTATTGTTGATCTTTACCAAGCTTGCTGTAAGTAGTACGATGCTGGTTGGGCAGTGGCAGTGGGCCAAAGCTTCCAGTGAGCCAGGTAGGTGATCATGAGGGGAGCAGCTGACACTCTACCATATATATGTTGATAAACTATGAGACTCAGTATGTTAGGTATGTTAAATACATTTTTGACTTTTGATATTTTCAGCTTATGATGGGTTTATCAGGACATAATCCCCTTGTAAGTTGAGGGGCATCTGTATACACATCTTAAAGGTATTGGAGAAACATGGTTGTTAGTACTATAGGGTCTATCCTGGTACCCTGTTCTTCAAATGAGTAGTTATCTGTGAACTTGTATAGATCTAACTGGTATAGATCTCTCCCCTTCTAGGAGAAATATATTCTGAGTTCCAAACAATTTATGTAAAAACAAACTTGCTCTTTCAAAAATAGGAAACCATTGAACATTGGTTTACATATTAAATCTTAAATTCTAAATGTAATCTTTATAACCTGGGATACAGTCTGAACAATTGTGATGACGATGGAACAAAGGTGTTGAAATTTAGCCTTCTAAAGGCACATTATTTAAAGGAATTTAATTCTGGAGTCATAACCATTGGGAAAGTATGAAGTACTTACAGGTGTTTTTAAATTTTTTTTTTTTTTTTTTAGTTTTCAATGTATCTTTATTTTATTTATTTTTATACAGTGCTGAGAATTGAACCCAGTGCCTCACACATGCTAGGCAAGTGCTCTATCACTGAGCCACAACCCCAGCCCAGTGGTTATTTTTTTTTCTTTTCTTTTTTCGTTTTTTTAATTGTTGGTCGTTCAAAACATTACATAGTTCTTAATACATCATATTTCACAGTTTGATTCAAGTGGGTTATGAACTCCCAATTTTACCCCGTATACAGATTGCTGTATCACATCAGTTACCCTTCCATTGNTGCCTTTCTAGTGTCTGATATATTCTGCTGTCTGTCCTATTCTCTACTATCCCCCCTCCCCTCCCCTCCCAGTGGTTATTTTTAATACATCATTTCATAAGAATAATTCAAGCATATAATAATCTTGTTGCAATAGATAAGCCAGAGAGGTTTGAGGGACATTATTATTGCTTCCCAAGGATATTGCAGAAGTGTCTTGAGAGGTCCCCAAAACCCTTGTGCAAAGAGGAGAGCAACTGCAGACACAGAGGACACTGTGAAACAGGACACTGACCTGCTTTCCCTAGCTCCAGGTTGCAAACCAATGACCATTCAAAGCTGCATGCAATTCAGCAATTGTTTGTTTAGTTTAAAATACTTAATATGATTTAGCTATATACTAGATGACTTTGTTACATTATTACTATTATATTTCCTCACAATTAAAAGTATTGCCTTTAAGAAATCTCAATTTTTTTATTGTCACAGAAGAATAATGCAAACCTGAAATCATTAAAGCTGGACAAGCCTGACTCTGAGGTAAAGCCTTTTCTTTTGTAATAATCTTACATCTATTCTTCCTTTTGCATCAACAATGACCAAGTTGTGATTAAAATATATGTTTGTAGGAGCAAGCCAAGATAGCAAAGCTTGGACTTAAGTTGGGTTTGCTCACCTCTGATGCTGACTGCGAAATTGAGAAGTGGGAGGATCAGGAGAATGAGATTGTTCAATATGGACGGAACATGTCCAGGATGGCCTATTCTCTATATTTATTTACTAGGTAATGTGGTTACATTTTGATCTTTTAAAATTAGTCTGATACTTGGTATAAAGAAAAAGTGCCATGTTAAATCATTACGAGGTTAAAGTCTCTAGCAAAGGCATGGTAAAAAGACTGGAAGTAGTTAAACCATGTGCAGTGGTACACATCTCTAATCCTAGGGACTCAGGAGATTGAGGTAGGAGGATCACAAGTTCAAGGCCAACCTGGACGACTTTGTCTCCAAACAAAGTAGAAATGGCAGGGATGAAGCTCAGTGGATAGTATGTGTGAAGACCTGAGTTTGATCCCTTGTATGCATACACCCCCCCCTCCGCGCCCCCCCCCCACAAGACTGGAAGTACTTACTATGACAATTTACTTCAGCAGGTACAAGAAGAAGGTACACATCTATTTAATTGAGAGTTAGATGTAAAAGTGATCCTTTTCTAGTTTTGTATCCTATTCTTTCCAGAATTTTGAAATAATTTACATTCTGCTTTTTGTCAACCTATATATCATATCTCTCAGCCAACACCAGTACATTTAGATAATGTACCTTTTATATCTTTATACAAGTAATGATTAGACAAAGATTAATGAATAGATCTATGAAGACCTATCTCTATTGATTGCCAAATCTCCATGAATCACCTTTCATTATGGAGAGGAGACTTTCCCTAACTTTAGTATTACCTTTTCTGTATTCTCTGTCTTATCCATGTTATAAGGCTCTTGATCAAATGCCTTATTCATGTCAATTTTGATCATATTCCAATCTTTTGCTATATTAAATCATACACATTCTGCTTAGCTAAAACCAGTTATCTGCTTAGCTAAAACCAGTTATCTGCTTAATAATCTGTTCTAGATTTTTTTTCTCAAGGAATGACTTCAAACTTTTATTCACTTTCTGAAATTTATCTTTTTCAGAAATTTGGAAAATCAGGTTTCGATACTTGAGTATCTCCTAGGTAGCTCCTTTCCTACTCATGTTGGCTTTGAAAAAATTAATAAAGTGGAATTGAAGAGTGCAGGCAAGTAGGGCTTTAAAAATGATCCCCAGAATGAAGCAGTCTTGCCTCCTGGGGCAGGATGTTCTCTAAAACACATGGAAGTGCAGGTGGCTCCCAAAGGCATTTCACTCCCAGGGAAAAAGGAGAGAGGGAAAGGCTGTAATTCCAACTGAGTTTTTCAGGGTCTCCACAAAGACTGAAAAGATGAGTGTCTGCCCATCTTATGGGGTAGAATAAATGACATGGCAGACAGAGGTGAGGGATGTTATGTTTGTGGAGTTCCTTCATGTGGAAGGAAGACCAGGAGAGGTCGCGAAGCATTCCACAGGGAAGAGGCTTCAATTGCCTCTTGATGATGTCTTCTGTGAAATGATAGGAGTCTTCTGTGAAATTTTTCTGCTAACTAACAATCTCTTGTTAATACCTTACCGTATTTTCCATCATTAGATACCATTCCTCTTTGGTGGTTTCCTTTCTTAGTTTTTAATTGTGTTTAGTGAGCTTCTTCTCAATTGAGTCTTCCCAGCAATAATTTTGATCTTCTTGCTTAGTTCTTACTTTTTTAAAAAATTTGATGGCTTAAGTCTACAAAAAACATAAAATGGGACTGATTGCTGTGACACACACTTATAATCCCAGCTACCTAGGGGGCAGAAGCAGGAGGATCATAAGTTTGAGGCCAGCCTGAACAAAATAAAAAGGGCTGGGGATGTAGCTCATTGGTAGAGCACCCCTGTATTCAATTCCTAGTCTCCCTTTCCCCGACTTCACACACAAAGGAACATAAAAAATGAACTCCTGTGTTCACATAACAACCAATTTCTATAGATTGCTGAAATTGAAATCTCAACCTTTGGCTGAATCATGCTACTTATCTCTAACTAGCACGAAGATCATGCTTTTTTTAAAAAAAAGTTTTTGACTAATAAAAGTTGGAGAAATACATTATTAATTTAATGAATGTAGTATGTAAACATTCCCAAAATGTTTATCCGATTTTTAAAAAGATATATCTGCTCTTTGTTATTTCAGAATATGTCAGGAAAATATGATAAGAATTTTTTGTTATTAAGTCAGAATAGTGGATTTGGATATGGACAGAGTCCATCCCAACAAGACTGGGAAGTGAAGGGGCTGTCTCATCAGTGGTAGGAATTTCTAAAACTGTGGAATGGAGCTGGTCATGATGGTGCTCATCTCAGCAAAATAGAAGGCTAAGGCAGAAGGATCACGAATTCAAGGCCAGGCTCAGCAAATTAGGAGGCCCTAAGCAACTTAGTGAAACCCTGTCTCAAAATAAAAAATAAAAAAGGTTGCGGATATGGCTCAGTGATTAACCACCCCTGGGTTCAATCCCCAGTTCCAAAATAAAACAAAAACTCCGTGGAATGGGACTTGTTGCTAGAATATGGTTATTTGACAGAAATGAAGTTTAAGACAAGAAGATGGATTTTCTGTAATGGAGAAACACCTTGTATCATTTAAACAAATCTTGGTAATTCAATTACCTCCTTGTAATAACATCCTAGGTTGGTTTTGTTTTGTACCCACACTGTTTACCCGTTTCCTCAATAATTGTCTTCATTTTCCCTTAAGACCTGTGGTTTGCCAACTTCATCTATGTCCTTGTTTCTGACTGTGAATCTTCACAGTATTTAGCTTTGAAATTTTCTCAGGCAGTTTCAAACCTCTCCTCAGGCTGTTGTTAAACTTTCTTATAATAATGTATATGGTTTCTTAATAAGTTATAAGCAATAATTTATATTTCTTAATTTATATGTTTAAAATTTTCTAATGCCTATTAGTTTGAAAACATTTCAAATGTACCAGTGCCTTTTGGTTTTTAACACGTTTTTTGCTTTATGATTTCTTTAGAGAATCTCAACAATTTATTAGGGATCAGGAATGATTTGGTCACAAAGCTATTAAGTGGAAGTACTGGTTGTTACTAGAGTACAGATTTTCTGTTTTATGTCTAGTATATTGCTGGTCTTATGTTCTTTCTGTTATTTTCTTTGTTGCAATCTACTTTTCATCTTTTAGAGTTGTTAAATTTTTTTGGTAGTTTTGAATTTGATATTTCCCAATTTCTTGGTAAGACTGGTAGCACAAGAATTATCGTGATTATCTTATGCATTCAAAGTTGAAAATATGCCTTTTTAAAAATGAATAACTGAGTTCCTACCAGAGTTGAAATTAGAAATAGAATCTTCTGACTTTGATCTGATTTGTTTTCATTATGTAACAAAGGACTTTTAGTTAAGATATTATAAATCTCATATATTTAATTCATGAAACAACACAAAAAAAGATTAAAAAGGACAAATAGAACTCAAATATAACTTGCTAATTTTAAATGTCTTTACATTATAAAATCAACATATATAATGTTTGCATGGACAAAAAAAAGTGCACAAAGAAGTTATAAAGATTATAAAGTTATAAAGATTAAATGTTCCAATATTATTAGTCTGTTCCTGGGATCTGTCAATACACAGAATGTTCTGAAATTATATTTTGCAGTCAATTTTCAGCCAACAATTTTTTAACCTTACTAATAATTCATTTTATTTTAGAGGAGAAGGGCCACTGAAAACTTCCCAGGACTTAATTCATCATCTAGAGGTATGTTTTATTTTTTACTTTATACTGTTTTAATGTTGGGCTAAAAGTGGATTATAACGGGGTTCTTAGTGATTTAGTATATTGTGTACTTGCACATGTATACACCTGTGCTTTAGAGAACAGCAGACAAGTAGAAAGAAAGAGGGCTTGCATAATGTTTTGTCAAGCTTTCTTGGTTATCTCATTAGAAACCAAAATATTATAGGGATAAAGCAGAACAGGCTTGATTGGTAGTCAACAGATGCAATGTTGCAAACTTGAAACAGATGCAAGTCCCAAGTAGATGAAAATATCCTGAAAGCAGATGCAAATCCCTTATATCTTCCAGAGTTCTAGAAAAGTTCTTTGGCCTCTTCATAATTGCATTGGATGAATGATATTGATTTAATGAGGTAACACATAAAAAAATTTTCAGAAGTAATAGACTGAAAACCACTAGAAAGTACTCAGTACTTGTTAGTTTCCTTCTTTTCTTCCATGTTCATGATGATATAGGGAATTTAGGGAGAGAGGTATTTTGGTACCACCCTTTTGCCCTGTGTCTAATGGAATTCCATGTAAACCTGTCTCCATTTATCTTTCCTCTGGTTAGAAGCTTTAGATTGGCAAGTGTGTTGTAAAATTTCTTTCCTATTTTCTTTTCTTCACTTTTTTGAGGTGGGGTATTGCTATGTTGCCCACGCTGGTCTGGAACTCCTGGCCTCAAGCAATCCTCCCATCACAGCCTCCCAAGTAGCTGGGACTCCAGACACATGCCATCACCACACCACTCCTCCTTTCCTATTTTACCCTCCCTATGTTAGCCTGTTTTCTAAGAGAATTCCTACATTGAAATCTGAAATTTCTATCACGCTTTCACTCTCATATAGTTTCCTTTGGCATACCTATCCTTCTGCTTGCACCACTTCAGGAAAAGGATTTCAGCTAAAAGGGGTGATTGTCAACAAAGAAGAATCATAGCACATATTTTTTTCTGGATTTTTCTATAAATTAGATTTAAAAATGAACTTTCCCCCTTAACACAACTGCAATAAATTCTGGATTCATTCTGTTTTCTTTGGCCTATGTTCATTCTATTCTATACTGCTCATTACTCATCTTCTGTGTGAGCATATGCATTAAACCTGTGTCTAAACTAAGTTTTGTCTCTAAACTAAGATGAACATAAAATGGCATGTTTCACACAACAAATATTTATTGAGCTACATGTCAGATGGTGGGTAAGAACTCTGGGGAGAAGAGTGAACCAAGAAAATCCCCTGCCCCCATAAGGCTTATATTTTAGTGTCAGGAAATAGACATTAGAAAGTTTAGTATGTAATGCACATATATAAGTACTTGTAGATAAAATCATGTAGGACAAGAATATCAAGGTGATAGGATAGAAGAGACTTCTCTAAGGAGGTAGTAACATCTGAATAGAGACATTAATGAAGCAAGAGAGTGACTTGGATGGATAAGTGGGGGTAGAGTATTTCAGATGGGCAGAACCAGTACAAAGGCCCTGAGGTGTAAGGGTAAGGCTACATATCATCTGAAGAAGAATAAGGGAACAATGTTGGATGGAGTGGAGTGAGTCAGAGGAAAGTGGTGAAGCATGATGGAAAATCCACCGAGGGTTTTCAGAAGCAGTAGCATCATCTGACTTAAATCTAAAGGTTTTGGCTTGGCCAACATGGTAAATGATAGTGTCATTTACTGAGCAAGGGAACACTGAAGGAGAACATCAGATTTAGAAGGTCGAAATCAAGCATTTTGTTTTGCTCATGTTAACTACAACTGCCAAGTAGAATATACAGGGCTAGTGCCAGGGTAGTTCAGGAATGGAGAGAGCACCTCTCCATTATCAGCTTTAAGCTGGTTTTAAAACCATGTTATTCTATAAGATGGGCAAGGATCTTGACTCCAAGGAGTTTACAGACTGAAAAGGAAAGAGAAGATATGCAGAAGAGAGAGTGGTAATGTGGAATCGTGAGGAGCACCCAGGGAAGTGAGACATTCAGTTAGACTCTGGATGTAGCTGTGGTTTCCCTTTCAAAGGGCAGGGAAGGAAGCAAGGACTCTTATCCTTGAGACCACTTTACCAACAGCAGCAAGGTGTCAAGGCTGTTGAATAAAGGGTGAAAGTTAACTTTGGATTAGTCTCCTCATTATTTTTTAATCTAGTTTATTACAAAGATCTGTTATTTTTATTTATAAATAACTTTCATATTTGCTCCATTCTGTCCTTTATTTCTGCTGCTACCTAAAACAGAGTCTTCGTCCCTTTATGTCCACGGTACCTCTCACACCATTTTAACACGATGTCCTGAATATTCCTGTCTTACTTGTCCAATCCTATTTTTCATGTTCTTCTTCCTGCTCACTAAATTGTAAATAAAATGCATGGTGAAGAGGCCGTCAGAAAACAATAACAAAACCAACAACTGAGTCGATCTTCTCAAGTGGCTGGGTGATGGAAAGTGTATAGGTGACACATTTAATCTTGGTTAAATGTAAGTAAGAAAGTTCTAGCCTTTTTGACCTCATGCACCAAGACTCATCACCTTTTTATGATTGGGGATTTTATGAGTTGAGCTCAGGGTCCCTCCCAAAACCAGACATAATTTGAGTATCACAGATCTGTGTAACCCTTCAGAATAATTGAAAGTTTCCAGCTACAGAGGAGCCTCTCCAGTGATTAGTTTGTATCAGATCCAGGAAAACTTCTGAATTCAGGTAAACCTGTTTCCTGGGTACACAAAAAATGTAGGAGTTCTGTGACTTGCTTTTAATGTATAGGTCGTATTTTTCAAACTGTATGAAAATATTAATGTGTATATTTCTTACCAACCCATAAGACATCGATCTAAAATAGTGATTGTTTTCATTCTACCAGGTTTTTGCTGCAGAGGGTTTAAAGCTTACTTCAAGTGTACAAGCTTTTTCAAAACAGGTAACACCTGCCTTCTCCCTATCTAGTACTGGTGGTGGTATCATGTATACCCACTTTGGGAGTATATTAAGATATAAAGGTATTTAAAGTATTAGAAGATGCAGTTTTGTTGGGGTTGTTGTAACTTTCTAAATTATATTTCAGCTGAAAGATGATGACAAGCTTATGCTTCTTCTGGAAATAAACAAGTTAATTCCTCTATGCCACCAGCTCCAGACAGTAACTAAAGCATCTTTGCAGAATAAAATGTTTCTAAAGGTAAAAGAGAGGGGGATTACTCCGGGAGACACTTGAGAAACTTGTATACCTGTTCTTCATCAAGTTACTCCAGACCCTTTTTTAAAAAATAAAGTAGGATATAGAAGGCTAATTTCCATTTTTCATTCCTTGACTGAAAAAACTCATTATCTGCTGTTATAACTGACCCCAAGGAACAGGCTAACCAATTAAATTAGCTTTTTGGACATAGATTAATTCCATAACACAGAGCAGCTACCCTAGGCCTCACATAAGGCACAAACGCCTGAGTCTGGGCTCCCATAAATTATCTGAGAAAATGTAGGCTTATGTCCACAGAGCAGAGCAGGAGGAATTATAAAGTGGGGGATTCCCTGCCCCTACTTAGAGCTCTTTAAAAAATTCCTAAAGAGCTGGAGGTAGATGAATTGCTTTTCCACCCTTTCTTCCTGGGGTTCATGAAACAGGCATGAGATCTGGGCAACAAACCCTGCCCTATGTTCTGCACTTCAAGTCTGATCATACATTTATACCTTTCTCAATCTGTTAGATTTCCACAGTGGAAAAATGTTATCACTTTAAAACCAAATAAATGATAAAGGTTTTAGAAGTACCAGTTTTGGAATCTAATTTGCATGCTTTCTGTCACTGTAGGTTGATAAGTGTATTACAAAGACAAGATCCATGATGGTTCTCTTGGTCCACCTTCTCTCACTTTGCTACAAATTGCTGAAGAAGGTGAGGCAGTTTTCTATATTAAACTCACTTTATTAGCTTAAAGGAAAATGCAAAAGAAAATAATAGTTACTATTTAATTTTAAATTTTTTGTTTCAAGTAAAGCAGAAACTAATTATCTTAACTTTTCCAGCTTCAGATGGAAAATAACAGATGGGTCTCGGTTACAAATAAAGACRCTGTGGACATAAAAACTTGAGAAGCTCTGGGGCCAGATCTCTGGAACATCATGTGGCAAAGCTGACATTTTTAAGAAGCAAACGACTCTATATTTTCAGAAATTCAACAGTTTTATAATGAAAGCAGCACTGAAATCTTGCTTATTTTCTGATCTTCAGATTGTGATGCTTTCTGACAACTAATAAATGCCACRGTAGTTGCTAGAATTCTAACTGCAGTACGATTTTAAAATGTGACATTGCATTAATAATGTTCTTTAAACATTAAACCAAATATCCCCGACTGTCTTAATGACAGTTGAATCCAATCCAAAGAAGCTATTTTGAATAAGGGCTCAACTTTGGCATATTGTACCTTAACTATTTTTTATTTAAGCTTATTCTCTAGAACCCTAATTTCAGGAGAAAATATACAGTAACCTGGGTGAACACAGGGCTTTCCTTTAACCTTTGGACTCTTCATTCCCTGTCCAGGTATGACAGGGGCCCCTTGGATGCCCCAGCAGACCCCCCATGCTAGTGGCAGTTGTTTTCTAACAAGCATTTCAGTGTAAGGGTTATTATGCCATGTGTCCTTCTCTAAGGCAGGTAATGGAAGTCACTCATAAAACCCTGGAGCAACTCCTGGAGGAGATGGATTTTAAATTTTTTTGTAGTGCTGGGGCTCAAAACCAGGGCTTTGTGCATGCTAGGTAAGCTTTCATCACTGAGCTACACTCCCAGCCAAAGGTAACTCTTTTGGTTCTAGTTCTAGCATAGTTGGTCAATGTGCCCTACTAGGTGGAATCCTCAGTCTTTCTTACTGGCTTATAAAACAATTTCTAACTACCCTTCTTATTAGTTGGCGGAATGGCAGGTAAAAAGGACACTGGAACCAATGAACTGTTTAAATTCTGAATAATAATATATTTTATATATGTGGCAATGTAATGTTCATCATAAAACAAATAAACATCTTTTTGAGTATTTTTAATTTTAGTGTTTGAAGCTTTTTCTGTTTTTGTGGGATGGATCTTTGATTGAAGGATCTGGTTTATGGGTTTTCTCCCTGTGATACTATACAGTTAACACTGTTTTGGAATGGTGTCAGCTTATACCCCAACACTTTGAAATTCATTTTGAAATCAGTCATGTCATCAATTGCAAAAGGCAGTAGATATGAGCTGGTCTGATGATCATGATCTTTACCTGTGTCAGTGAACACAATCCATGTTCACAAAAGATTCTAAAAAATCATTTTGTCACTAACTAGCTAGTTGGTATTTGTCAAATATTTTTACTATAGTCATGGGGGGGCGGATGGGATGCACTCAGCTGTTAGTGACCTTCATAAAATACCTATTTAAATAATCAAGTCATCAAACATGATTTTTATTCTGTGAAATCAAAAGTCTCAAATTACAATAAAAATTGAATGATATGTTATTTGTAAATTAAGACACCCAGTTCTCCTGTCTCTAGTATTGCTGTATGAAGACTTCAAGAATCAGTGTTTATGCTGAGGTGGGGATCTCCTGGCTTGGGCTTATATATTCAGCTCAGCACAATCACTGTAGGAGTTGCTACCTGTCGTGGGTCATATATAGAGGACAGTCATGTTGACATTCAGGTTTAAAGACATTTTTCTTATGAACTAAAAATAATTTTAAAGTTTTATTTACAAAATACTCTTTTAGATACCTGAGAATACTCTCATGGAAGTGAGTGGGGATGGGAAAGGGACAACATGATTTCAACAGCATCAGAGGATAAAGAACCAACGGAACCTACACATCAAGTGATTTTCTTTCCCTTTATATATCTATGTATGTGTTGCATACCTTAAATAAGATGTGAAGTTCTTTTTTGAAATTGTGTAAATTTAGTATATAATCTGTTTTTTGTGGTGCTTGGGATTGAACCCAGGTCCTCATGCATACTAGGTAAGCATTCCACCAAAGAGCAATACCCCCAGCTCAAAGTTAAACCATACATTCAGTGGGATTTTCTTTTCCCCCTAGTTTGTGAAATTCTTTATTCTGGTTCAAAGGCATCTATGCCTTTGGGCGAACTATTCTGTCATTTCTGTGCTAGACATTAACTGTATCTAAAATGTGTGAGACTGAGTGAACTACAACCTATGTATTGCAAGAACCAGATGAACACTGTCCTATTTCCATTTGCTAGGAAAGCTCCAGCAAAGCCTTTTTTGTGTCTGCAATTTAAGAAGTCAGTGTTAGAGATCTCATTCCTTGTAGAGGGGAGGCCCATCTCCATAGGGAGCTAAGAAGATATACTTAGCACTTCAGTTTTTTCTCTACAACCTAAAGGCAGAGGAGTTGAAGCAAAAGGGATGGGATGAGACTTTTTGGTAATGTTACTGAAGAAAGGCTGGGTACCTTTTTTCAAAATATTAAACTGAGGGCTGGGGCTGTGGCTCAGTGATGCAGTGCTCGCCTAGTATGCGTGAGACATAAAAATGAAATAAAGATATTGTGTCCACCTACAACTAAAATAAAAATATTAAACTGACAGAAAACTCAGGCAATAATGATAAATACATGGCACGTATTCCTCTATGTCATAGATACGGTAGGTAAATTGCTTTTACTTGGTTACCTAAAATTTTTCCATTTTCCAATTTTCCTGAAAGAGATTTGTTGTTTTTAATCAGAAAAACATCCCTTGCTTGTCAGTGGATAGACACAACACAGTGAGTCCCCAGGCAGGACAGATCTTGAAGGATGAAGACAAAAAGGGAAACTAGGTGACAGGAAGGATTAGGCCTCCCTAGCTGATGGTGGGTGCTGAGTATGCTTCACATACTCTGGGTTTCCTCTTTTAGTGCACTGACGTTTTGAGGCCAGGGTGGGTAAGTGTCCTACAGCACTTTTCACTCCATCTCAATCCTCATGATGTAGCTGTTGTGGCATTAATGCGTTTCACCACGACCTCCTCGTATTGTTTTTGTGTCAGTAACCCTTCTGTTACGCTTTTGCTCTCCTCAAATTTGGGTAACACAACTGCAATGTAGCCTTCAGTAGATGGCTGGAAAAGAAACAGAATATTTAACACTGTCAAATGATTCAAAGGGCTGAAGAAAGGTACATGAATGGGATATTTTCCTCCTCTTTTTTACCTTTTCTTGAAGAATAGATGGTTTGTGGAGAATGTTCTCATTCACTTCCATCAACCGTCCTCTAACACAACTGTTTAAAAAAGAATTATTTTTAAGAAACAACAAATTTTTATAGTTACTTCTCCTTAAGTAAATGATGGTATTTGTGGCTTTTCCCCTAAATTGTGGTTAAAAAGTTACTCACCTAGATATGGTATATTCCTCTCCATCTGAGCAGTAAATCTTACACAGAGGTGCAAGTTCTGTTAGAAATTGTGCCCCCTAAGAAATGAGAAGGGCGAGGTGATTAATTGATATACATTCCACTTTCCTTTGAGAGGCAGCCCTCAGTGTTAAAATACAATCTACATCTGAAACTGGTGTTAATTTAAATAAAAATCACTTAAATACATGGAAACCATTCATGTATTCAAACATTTACATACTAAGTGCCTACTATGTGCTTGGAACCAATCTTACACTTAACAGTTGACTAAGCTATATGTGATAATAGGTAATTTAGTTATAAACGTGTTACTCTTTAGATATTAGATGTCCTGGAAAAGATTGTGTCAGACAATGCAAGAAAGTTGAGAGGTGAAATGATTTGTGACAACTTCAACCTAATCAGTGCATTAATCTGCTGATGGGGATCTTAGTGGTAACTGAAGGCAGATAGGATATGGCTGGAGGAGGTGGATCACTGGGGGCATGCCTTTGGGGTATATATTTTGTCTCTGGTGGACTCTTTCTGCTTCCTGTTGGCCATGTCCTGAGCTGCTCTCCTCCTTTATACCCTTCTGCCATGGGTCCAGAGCATCAAAATCAGTCATCTATGGACTGAGACTCTGAAAAACATGAGCCCCCAATAAACTTTTCTTCCTTTAAAATTATTCTTATCAGGTCTTTTGATCATAGCAGTGAAAAAGCTGACTAAAACAAGACTAATAATATGTTTTCTCAACTGTAAATGAGAAAGTTACAAATAGTCATGTGTAAAGATTTCAAAATGTGGGAAAATCTACTACAAATAATAATATAAAATTCAACATGACAGGGTATGATAGCCATAGTGTTCAAAGTTAATTTCATTAAGATTCCTACCTAGGGGCTGGGGTTGTGGCTCGGTAGTAGAGCACTCACCTAGCACGTGCAAGACCCTGGGTTCGATCCATAGCACCACATAAAAATAAACAAAATGTATTGTGTCCAACTAAGACTAAAAAATAAATATTAAAAAAAAAGATTCCTACCTATTGTAAAAACATTAGAACTTAACAGATAAAGAAACCTCTTTATCAGGGTTAATCACTCAGACTTTCTGAAGAGGGGATTTTTCTAATTTAAAAAAATAACAAGCTGAGTGTGCTGTAATCCCAGCAACTCAAGTGGTTGAGACAGGAGGACTGCAAGTTCTTACAAGGTCAGTTTGGGCAATTTAGCGAGACTGTCTCAAAATTAAAAGGGCTGGGGATTTAGCTCAGTATTAGAGAATTCCTGGGTTCCATCTCCAGTCCTGCAAAAAGTTAAAAACAAATAAAATCTTAAAATATGCCATTTAAGAGAAATGCGGAAAAGTTTTAATTAGCCACATGAAAATGATTTACCTATTATCCTGTAACCCCTAAATTAATACCACATTTTGGTACATCTGTTTGTGATGTCAAGATTACTGTTGCATGCACTCCCATTAGATGGAGGAATCTGAGGAGGTCTGACAAATACCTACAAGGAGGCTCATGGGAGTCAAGGCAGGCACGTCTCATGTGCTGCCCTATTTTCAGGATCTTTTCCTGTAGCAAACAGGCATTTAAGATACTGTTCTTTATGACTTTTTAATTTACCTCTCAAAACATTACAGGATTGTATTCAGAGACTATTACTACATTGGTTTCACCCCTCTGCGTGGGGGGGACTTCATTTCAAAATACAGGTGTCACTGTGACTCTCCACTTTTGGGAAGTAGGAAGTGGGAACTTGTTCCAGAGGGCTTGTCTACAATTGGGCTTGTATCAAAAGAGAAGTGCTTTGACCCATTCTTATCACCTCCCTTGAGAGAATAAATGATTAGCAGTTGATATACAATTAAAACTTATCTGTACTGGGTTCAGTATGCAGGTCCTTTGTTCTTTGTTAATAACAGTATTGTTGCTATTTTGGACACTGAGAAGAGATCCATAAGCATTAACTATTATATGTATTTGTAGACTTTTTTTTTTTTTTTTTTTTTTTTTTAAGAAAGGTACATGCTTTTTAATGTCCATTTGTTTCTGGTTGAAAAGTCAGGAATTATAAGGCATGCTATTACAGTGTCCTGGAACAGTAAGCATAATTTGCAGAAACTTTCCCAATCCGATGGGTTTGTTAGGACACTTGAATATGTAACTAAATTGTACTCGGCATGATATCCTTTTATTAGAGAGTTTGTTTTGCCTAGAGTTGTAGAGGACAGAGAGAACATGTTGTCTGAGCACTGGGTGGTAGTGGAGGTGAAAGACATGGGTAAATAGGTGTTGACTGGTAATGTTTTAGTGTGGAAAAAACACCACATTATTTTCTCAGACTGATTTTTTTCCTACTGTTTCAGGATTTTTTTCTTTTAATTTACATGTGAAAACATGGTAAAGAATAATCACTTAAAGTTTATATAACTTGAGATACTAGTTTAATAAGTCTAGAAAAGACAAAATATCTTGTTATTTTGGTATTAGAGTTGGGACAAGAGGAGTGGTGATACAGAACCTAACATGATAGATACCACACCTCCTGAAATACCTATTTTTTTGTTGTTGTTGAGAGAATTTCTTTATGGTTGGAGTATCTTAAAATCAACACCCTGAACTTCAGAAAAGAATGGATACACACATTCCTGAGCATACATATCTGGATCCTAAGGTAGACTAGATCTATTATATCATGAACATAGAGGATTTTGGTTGGTAATAATCAGAGAATTATAGGGACATACCCGCTTAAATTTCCCAGAGACCTTGTTCTGAAGTCTGCTACAATTGGTACTGATCTGATAGGAAATGCTTTTAATTGTTTTTCCACTTTGAAGAACTGGATGAGATTCTGCCAATGTGATGACACATATTCTACAGGAAGAAAAAAATTGATTTTGTGTTAATTCTTGCTATAATTATTTCTCCTGTAACAGTGTTCCCACCTGCACTAGTCTATATAAACTGACATTTGTTTAGTAAAACTATCATCCCCCTTCTTTTTCCTTTGGCTATTATTAGAGCCTAACTACAGTATGGAAAATTCAATAATAGATGAGAGAGTGGATTTGAATTTCCTTTCTAGGAAAGTGAACAGTAGCACAGGAGTTTAGGTAGCACTGGAGTAGAAGAGAGGAAAGTAAGGTCTTCCTGTGTATACAGGATACCACACATGCCTCTACTGTGATGGTCTCCATGGGCTCTGGCATTGGCTACTTTAGGTAGCAGATAACTGAAGATGTGTTCCATTTGAGTGTTTAGTTAATCAAAATTATATGTTCAATTTCTGCTAACCAAACTCCTATAATAATACCATTTCAACACAGTGGAAGGTAATTTGGTGATGTTCATTTAATAAGCTTTTTTTTAAAAAAAAATATTTTATTTTTAGTTGTAGTTGCACACAATACCTTTATTTATATGTGGTGCTGAGGATTGAACTCAAAGCCTCACACGTGCTAGGTGAGCGCTCTACCACTGAGCCCCAGCCCTAATAAGCTCTTTAATCCAAGACCATACCAGGAAAAAAGAAAATGTATGATAATTTATAATTTTTGACTGGCTTACCGGTTAGAGTGCTGTAGTATACAGTGATCTTCACAGGGTTTTCCTTTTACATCTAGAAAAGTAAATAAGTTTGTTGGTTGCTAAATCAATATTTACTACCATTACATGATACTTTTTTTGTTTCACTGAGATAAATTAATTATGAAGATAATCAATTAAAAAAATATAAAGTTTTTTTTTAAAGTATTTAAATGGAACCAGACCCACAAGAATCACTTATTTAATGTTAAGGTGATAAACCCCTGCTTTGTCTAGCTTTTGTCCTCACTTTAAAATGATTATACCCATTATTTCTGTTAAAGAAATACAATTAGTGTCACATTCCTTATCCTACATTGGCCTTTTGTTTGTTTGTTTGTTTTATTTATTTATTTATTTTTTTGGTGGTGATTTCTGAAACTATTCTAATGTTAGCAGAGAAAGTCTCACATTCCAGGAAATCCCTCAATACTGTGTGAACCAGGATGGCTGTTTACCCTAAATTTGACCAATAGAAAAACATGCTATAATATAAATGAGGACACCCATTATTCCTGACTGAAAGGGAGAAAGTAGGGATTAGGTTAGAGTCCCCAGTGATGCTCCTCCCACTGGTATTTACAGGTTACACAAAGCACTACCACAGGAATGCCTGCTTCTGTATGGCAAAATGGACAATACCAGCGGACAACAAAACTGTAGATTCTGCATGTTTGCATCCCTCTGCCTCTACTGCTAATTTTAAGGAACTGGCTACTTTCTAAAAGATCTATAGAATCTATCTTTCTATAGCCCCTCAAGTTCCCCTGGCACTCAAGGAGTTTAACAGCCTGGAGTACCTGTTTAGCCTGCGCGTTGTCTAACAAGCAACCCACTGAGCCTGCAGGGCAGTCGCCAAACCTAGAACGCGCCCGGCTGTATTTCAGGATTCCAAGTCTGCAAAAGTCATTGCCCCGGCCTAGAGGGGAGCACTAACGTCCGGCTCCTTCGGATGCTGGGAGGAAGCGCCAGGACTCGCGCGCGATTTACGATCTGTCCAAGTAGTCCCCGCAGCATCAGGCCGAAGCGGCGCAGCGGAGATCGCCCTCTTCCCGCACTTACCCGCTTTGTACCAGCGAGTGAAGTAACGATCCACCAGCGACGGCACCGCGGGCTCCGAAGTCACGGGCTCTGTAGCCATGGTGACCTCCCGCGTCGTGGCCCCCGCCCTGAGGCTCCTCTCCGGAGGTCTTGGCCAGAGAAGTCCTTCCGGCGCGCGGCTCGCGTGATGCGCACATGCGCTGCTCCCTAGCCCACGGGCTCCGCCCACCATCAATTACCGTGCGTGGATTCCATTGTCAAGTTGGGGATCTAGTAAAACAGAAGGTGCAGGAGGAAGGAAGCCAGCGGAAATGCTCCAACTCCTTCAGAGAAGGCCACGGCTATTGATCCGGGGCGCCGCCCCCCAGCATGGCCACGCCCTTTGCGCTGCGTGACGTCACTCCCGCGCCGCCATGCTCCTGAGTCTTCGTCGCACTGTTTGCTGCTTAGCCACGTTATAGCGTCTACACCTGAGGTCGGGTGATCACTGAGAGAGGGTCAGCGTGCTCCGCGAGAGCTCGGTTGCCCGGACGGAGGGCGTGCGCACACTGCGGGCCTCGGAACGCCGCGTAGGTGAGCATTCGTGCGCGGTATCTGGAGTTGCTGCATGGGACGGGGCCCTGTCCGCCCCGAGGCTTCCCGGTGCTGTGCACGTCGAGGCCCGCTGCAGACTAGGAGCCGAGTGTGGCGTGGGCTACCTCTTCCTTCGAGCCTTGAATTCTCTTGCAGGCTTCCCCCCCCCCCCCCCCCCCCCCCCGCGGCCATCTGGGACGCTTCGGGGCGTCGCAGCCTGGGCGGGACTTGCTGCTGTTCTGCTGTGCTCAACCCAGCCTGCGGATTCTTTGCAGGGAGTAGATAATAACTGCCCAAGGTGAATTGATTGATCAACGGTGGAAGGCAGTGGTTACTGGAGGTTCGGGAATTGTGCTGTGGGTCCTCTTCTCGCGTCTGAGATTTTCTTGTGTGTGTGTGTGTGTGTGTGTGTGTGTGTGAGAGTGTAAGTAGTGTCTCCTGTACTTCTTCATCCAGTGTGGTATACTATGTGGCTTACTCCCCCTTTCCCCGCTAAACAGTTATGGCAGTGACTGTAATCTTTATCTTCACATCCTAGCACTTAGAGAGTTTTGATGTCACAAACCCGGATCGTAGCATAAGGTATTTTAGCATGGGGACAGGGCAAAAACCCTAATTCCCAAAATAGGATGAATTGTTTTGTGGAAGAATAGCAAGCCCTTCGTTTTTCACATTGCTTTTGATATGCTTGTGATAACAACATGGGCTTAACAATGTGGGTTTCAAGAAATTGAGACAAGTTCAGTCAGGACTAGGTCTATTTAGTCTATCTGATCATCATAGTAGCGATCTACTTAGTACTTGTAGTCATGGGTACAGTGATTAACCCAGAGATTGGTAGATGAAGGGCAAAGGAAGAAAATGAAGGAGCTTTCAGAAAATTCGGAGATCCAAGGTTGATCAGTGCTGTGGAGGGATCATTAGCAGTTTGAAGGGCTGGAATAAGTTGAATCTGTGGAGGCAGGGGAGTTGGAGGTTGCAGATGTCAAAGAGTATTAACATGCTAAGGTCCTGGGGCATTTGGAGGTTGTGCCTTTCCTAGTCTTAAAAGAACAGGGGTTATGTCTTCCTCTGAAAAGTAAGGGAGTAGGATGGTGGGTGGGAAATTTCAGAAAGTTTGTTTTGAGACTAAAGGGATTAGGGTGGAGGGGATTGATGAGCTTGCTTTGGCTAGCTGTGAACTCACTGATTTTGAAAACATGGTGATCACAGAACCCTAGTTGTTTGCTGTGTTTGTCAGGGTTCAGTCAGAAAAGTAGAAACCATACAGTATTTCAGGAGCATTGAATGTGAAGAATTAGTTAAATGCTTGCTGGAGGAACCAAAAGTGACATTGGCAGTGCAGTGACAAAAGGTAAGCTGAATGAAGCAGCTAGGTAGGGGGTCAAAACAAGGGACAGTGCTGGAGACATCAGGTCCTAAACCTTGGCACAAAGGCACTGCAAAGCCTCAGACTTGAGGTGTCTAACTCAGTAACTCCAAGGAGATGCCCCTGGTTTGGATTTCAGAGGCCTGGAGGTAGGTGAGGCCTGCCTGAGGGATGCTTCTGCCTCTGGGGCTGGAATTGATGAGGCTGATTCTGGGAGTGCTAGAGATGGGGAGGGGGATAGAAGACCCCTGCAAAGGTGAGGGCCCATTATTGGGGTGAAAGTGACAGGAACTACAAGATAATAGGAAAAAATCAGTCATTTTCTTTTGCTTTAACTTCCCATTTAAGAGGTGACAGCATGAGTATCAGATAAACCAGTGTGAAAACCCACTAGGACACTCTGCACAGTGGCCTCTGTTGCCTGTCCTTATCTGCTCTCTGTACCTGGCTTACTTCCTTTGCCATGCATTCTTTCTTCTCACATCCGCCTTTCAGTTGTATGCCAGTGGCCATCTTGAAAGATAAAAGACGTGATTTTTATGATTGGAAAAACCCATACCCTATGTAATTATGTTTAAATGAAAAACCTGCATGGTATCATTTGGTTCAAGTAATTTCCAGAAGTTCTTGAATATAACGTCACCAAAATGTAATAAAGCCATATATGATCTTGCTTTCTCTTAATCCTCATATATTATATTATTCCTATTACACTTGACATCTGCCTAATACCATAAGGATTGATTCATCTTTATTCTTGCAGTGTCATATCCATGAGATGCCAAATGAAAGAATTCACCTTGGATTAAGGTGATAGGCCAGTGTGACCTGTGTAATTGCCATCCTTAACATGTACAGACTTCAGTCATAACCCTTAAAGGGATTGAAGCATAAATACCCAGCACATTAATATTTTTTCCCTACTTAGATAATGTTGAGTGTTAAAGAAAGTCTGATTTTGCCAGACAAAGTAGATGTCATATTTAGCATGTTTTTCTCATCTTTTCTGTTGCATTGGTAAAAGCTTGGCCAGGAAATGAAGTTTCTTTAAGTATTTCCATCAGGCCATCAAATGTTTCAAGATGTTGGTCATCATTTTTAAGCAGATTGTCATTTCACAATATTTTCTTTTCTACTCGAGAGCAGTAAATGCTTTTATTTAAATTTTAATTTTTTGTGTATATAAAGCAGTTTACTAGTAAATGTGTCTTGGTGAATATGAAAGTTGTTTTATTACAGATTCCTTTCAATTGCCAGTATACATACATAGTTTGTGTGTGTGTGTGTGTGGCTGGGGATTGAACCCAGGTCCTTGTGCTTGCGAGGCAAGCACTCTACCAACTGAGCTATATCTCCAGCCCTCATACATAGCTTTTTATATAGTTCTAATCAACGGGATATCTTTTTTTCCTTATAACTTCATAAATCTGTCAGGTTATAAATATATTCTATATGCAAAAATAAAATGTTTTCCCATTTATTTTGTGTTTTTTCACTTTCCTTAGGAGTAAATGATATTTAAATATTTTTTTCAAGAAAAAAACTGAAGTTGAGACTCTTGGCCTTCCTACAGAGTGAGAGCAGAAAATAGGTTTCAGAATCCCCCAGGTTGTAGACCAGAACTCTGCAGTAAGTTTGCTGCCCCACATCTGCACGGAGATGCATGTTCAGAGAAGTTTTCTCTCTTGCTTGTTCTTTCTACTGTTTCTCTACCCCACCGGAATCATTAGACTTTATGTGAGTGTGATCATTTGCCATTGTTAAGCTGCTCCTTTCTCTTTTAGGAATTAATGCTTCATCAAGGGAAGTTTGTATTTTCCTCTTGAGCATTGCTTCATCATGCGAAATCTAAAGTTGCTTCGGACTCTGGAGTTCAGGGATATTCAAGCACCAGGGAAACCTCAGTGCTTCTCTCTCCGAACTGAGCAAGGAACAGTGCTTATTGGCTCAGAACGTGGACTGATAGAAGTAGATCCTGTCACAAGAGAAGTAAGTTATTGATGGAAAATGCTAGCATTTGACATGATCTTTAATTTGTTTTCTTTCAGACTTTTTTCCCCCAAATATTCTTCTTTTATATCTTAATGAATTTACATCTTCCTTAATAAACATTCCATTTGTTTTTTATAGATAGCATACTAGATATAACTTAAATAGTAACCTCTGCTACTATTTTAAGCTACTTTATATTTTACATGGGCTGCCTCCCTTTTACCCTTTCTACTGTGTGAGAACTATTATAGCAGTGATTTTCACCTAAGAATGCACAGGAAAATTTGAACTTTTTAATTTTATTTATTTATTATTCTGTGGTGCTGGGGTTGAACCCTGGGCCTCTGCATGCTAAGCACTCATCCTGCCGCTGAGCAATACTCCCAGGCCCTGTCTATGGTACTTTTTGAAAATATGTTTGGGCCAGCTAAATCCCAATCTTCAGTGCTGGATTTTACTGTATAACTTTCTGAAGGTTGCGTGAGTTAGTTTTGATATATTCCCTTGTTATATTTTGCTATTTATGTGTTTTGGGAAATTACATTGTATTGCTTTTCCCCCTTATTATAGAAGTCTTAGAAAACCAGAGTTATGGAGCTGGGGATAAAGCCCAGTTCATGCACAAAGGCCCTGAGTTTTATTCCTAATACCAGAAGAGAAAAGCCACAGTATTTGGTTTGGTGTTTTATTAGACACGTTAAAAGAGACCATATTTCTTATTTTTGTTTGTTTTGTGTTTGGCAAGAAGGCCGTATTTCCTTTTTTTCTTGTTAAAGGTGATAGAGTTATAATATTTCTCAAATGAAAGTTTGGGCTTTAATCTAGAAACAAATTTTTAAAACTTTTATGTTATGAAAGAAGCATTAGAAAATATTTTATTTCTGGCACTTATGATTGTTCTCCAGAGTAGACTATGTTAATTTGTTTATGTGTTTGCTTTGGTGAAAGGTGAAAAATGAAATTCCTCTGGTGGCAGAAGGCTTTCTTCCTGAGGATGGAAGTGGCTGCATTGTTGGTATTCAGGACTTGCTGGATCAGGAATCTGTGTGTGTGGCAACAGCCTCTGGAGACGTCATACTCTGCAATCTAGGCACACACCAGGTGAGGAGGAAATCACAAGCATCCCCAACTGAGTTACTTGTGTTGAGGTTTTCAATCCATAGTGATAATATTTAAGCCTTTGCAAATTAGAATCTTCCCATTGTGTATTTTTTTGTATAAGGAAAGGCTTTAGCTATATTTCAGGATTTTTAAGAAATTCAGTTTTGTCTACTGCATCTATTGATCAAAACAATTGGGTCATTCTGAATTAGAACTTAAATACATAAAAACTGACCATTCTTGTATGGTGTATTGTTGAAGTTCTGTGGTCAGAATTTCATCCTGGGTTCTAATTTTTATTTCCCAGTTTAGGAAGTC